GTCTCAATTAAAACAAAAGAGCTAGCTTACGATGTATTTTAAAAAATAAATAAATAGTCCAGCACTGATCGCAATACATTGGATGGAATGGTGAATGGTTTGAGTTTCCTAAATTACTGATATTACCTGCTGGTACGAGGGCTGTTCAAAAGGGCACTTCACTTTTGGGTTTATTTATTAAAATCCAGCACTCAACTGTAAGAAATTAGCCTCCTAGAGATGAATCGCTCCCTACTCAGAGGAGCCTGAAGCAAAGAAACTGATCATGCACACATTGAAGAACTGCACAGTAACACAAGCTCCGATGTTTTATTACGTCTCACACAAGGTGCAGCAATGTGAAGCATTCCTAAGGGAGACAAACGTTGTTGGCTGAAAATGATGCTTAGGTGTCTTCCTCAAAGAGTTAATGCCAAATTTACAGTGCTGTACAATTATCTTTTTTTATCTTGTAACTGGAAGCTCATAATAACTGAGGTGAAGTGTGAAACACAGGCTATTGGACGCTGGCAAAACCTGGAAAGATCTCTAGATTAACTTTCAGGTAAGCATAAATGAGGAGACAGAATTTATCCCTCATTTTATCTGGGAAATTTTCTGTATTGCAGCAGGGATACAAGTCTGTCTTGACTTCTTACAGTGGAAACCAAGCTATACTTTCAGGTCTTGGATGGCTGCAGATATTAAGCATTTCCTTCAAAGCATGCACCTCAAAAACATCAGGGCAGAAAAGATGCAGCTCAGGTAGGAGCCTTGGCAGCCTGGAATACTTTGCAATTTCTCTCTAGCAGGACACACCATGGCCATTCTCTCTTTTTGTGCCACTCTACAGCTCAATAAGCTTGTGGGTGTTGGTAAGGTGGAATAGCTGCACCCTGGAACAGTGGTAAACATGTTCAGGGTTAGTTAATGTCCTGGGTTCAGCTATAGCAGTCATTTTTTCTCCTTCTTAGTAGCTGGTGCAGTGCTGTGGTTTTGACTTTCAGCCTGGGAACAACGCTGATAACACCGATGTTTTTAGTTGTTGCTCAGTAATGTTTACTCTGACCAGGGACTTTCTCAGTCTCATGCTCTGCCAGGGAGGAGGGGAAGCCAGGAGGAAGCAGAGGCAGGACACCTGACCCAAACTGGCCAAAGGGGTATTCCATACCACAGCACGTCATGCCCAGCATAGAAACTGGGAGGAGTCAGCTGGAAGGCCCAGATCGCTGCTCAGGTCAGGCTGGGTACCAGTCGGAGGGTGGTGAGCAATTGTATCCTCTGCCCTTGTTATTTCCCTTATCATTATCATTATTAGTGATAGCAGTAGTGGTTTTGTATTATAACTTAGTTACTGGACTGCTCTTATCTTGACCCGTTGGAGTTACATTCTTTCAATTCTCCTCCCGACCCCTCCAAGTGCGAGGGGAGGAAGGGAGGGAGCGAGCGAACAGTTGCGTGGTTCTGAGTTACCGGCTGGGCTTAAACCACGACAGTTAATTAAGCAATGCCATTCCTAATCGCCTGCAGTTTTAATATATGCAGATTAGACATGCGTGGGGTTCACAGAATTTCATCTGAACCTTATGATATATCATCCTGCAATGGGCTGCAGTTATGTTCAGTGCAAGAGATCAACAGGGAAACCTATACAAAATTACCATTGTGTAACCCAAATCCAGGTGCTTTTTATCTACTACCACATTAGGGGTTCACATTATCCTAAGAGGATTGCTTTTCTTACTCATGTGTGACTCCAGTAACAAATCCCAGAATCCAGCTATGGCACTCATGTATGACTGATGTTAGCAGGATTTCCACTACTGACTGGGTGAAGGAGCAAGGAGTGTGGTGCTGAGACCTCCTCTCAAATGTCCAGATGTTGAAGGTGAGGGAGATTTTTATTAACCAGCACACTTGCTGGTGAGCCTGAACTAATGAAGAGTCCATCCTATGTTTATCATTTTTATGGCAGTGTGTTTGCTCATGGTTTGAGATACCCTCTTACAAGAAAAGGAGAAGCAAATTTTCTCAAATTGCTCAAAAATGAAAGATCTCTGGACTGACAGCCAGGCAGAATGCTTGCTCCCATACAATAGTTTTTCTTGCCATGCTGCATAAAAGCTGCTGGTGGTAAAGGTGATTGTTTCCACAAAAGCACTAATATCCTTCCACAGGCAAACTAACATCACTGGGATTATATATGCTGGAGGATGATGAACTGGATCATACAAGCATCCTACAAAAATGCTTCTGTATAGTTCTACCTATTCAGAGGTTCACTCTTCTCTGGAGTGAACTTGCACATCTAAACCACTCCTTTGCCCAGTTCAGATGTAAACCTGGCGTTTTGCTAAGTGAGGAATGTTGCTGTAGTAAGCATTAGCCACAGCAGCGCTTCTCATGACATGTGCTTCTGGATGCCAGAAGAAGTCCAAGAGGAAAACATTTTATGAGGGAAGGTATCCTCAGTGTTGCATTGTACTAATAGCTCTAGCTGGAGGTGGAGAAGAAAGATATGTTTAGCAAAGACATATAGTCTTCTTCTTAAGAACACTTCTGTATGTCCTTTTGGAGGAAAGGGAGTGTAGATCAGCACAGCGTAAGTAAAAACATCTTGGTAAAGGTGTTGAGACATGCCAACAGGACAGTAAACACTTCCTCTGCTTTTGCTTGTGGTTATCTTTCAGACTTCAGCTACTGCAGCCCCCATCAGCAAGCACTTGTGTTTGAGGTGCAGAGGAAAACCAGCATAATAAGTAGTTCTGGAAATTGATACTGCAAGGACTATCCTGCATCCCCTTTATTACAGGGGTGTGGTGGACTGGGTAGCTCACCTCTTTCTATGGAAATAGTCCTTACAGTGAAAGTTAGTTGTAGAAGGCAAAGTGCAGAGACAAAAGGCAAAGATAAACTGGTAAGACCAGTAGCATTGAATACCAGAACAATGTCCTGTTCCCCCTTCCCTCTATGCATAAAAGCCATATAGCAGAGGAAGGGAAACTTCCAACAGCTTGGCAGCCCTCTGGAACCTGCAACTACTTTTAACGTACAACTCACAGCAGAGAATACATTTCCAATGAATTCTTATAGGACAGATGCACTGGCATTAAGCATATAAGAAACGAACAACTTGAAACCAAAGAATGGCAAAGGTCTAACAACAAAGCAAGATGAATACCTTGACATTTTTCAAGTGTATCTATCTGTAGCATTTATTTGATAAATTACATAGGGCTAATAAATTGCAATCCAGAGTACTTCTAATATTGTCCCCTAGCTATTGTCTTGCTACAATGCATGTTCATTATGCTTTCAACCCTTAGCTATTGTCTTGCTACAATGCATCTTCATTATGCTTTCAACCCTTAACTGCTATGTTGCTGCCATCTTGAGAAAAAGAAGAAGGAGAATCCCATGGCAAGAGATCTCTCAAGCGGCATACAATTCACCACAGAAAAAGCCACTTTGAAATTGCTAATGCAGCCTTTTTGTAACCATTCTCCCTTGGGGAAGTCAGCAGCGTTTTCAATTTATTCTAAGAACTGACTCCAGATGAGAAGTGAAGTTTTGGTTTGTTTGGTTTGGGTTTTTTTGTCTGTATGTATATACATATGCACTTGTTATAATGTAAACTAACAACAAATAATTTAATATTAGACAATATTACCCAAGATATCTGCCACAGGTTTATTAACTCTTCTAAGGCTTCACTCCAGAATTTTCTAAAGAAAATTGCACAGTGAAAATGCAGTAGTCTTAGCCAGTCAAGCCAATACTTGAATCAGTACACACAAGTAGAGGCTGCTTTACACAAGCTAAGTCCCTGTGATTGTCCTTCCTGTCCGCAGTTGTAACAAACACCTCCCACTTTCAAGTACTACTGTTCGAAGTGTATGGTGCTAGGCACAATTTTATCCACATTATATTCTTTTGAGTATGGCTCAAAAAAAGAAAAAAAAGTTTTGTAGACAGCAAGTAAAGCTTACCTACCTGTGGTAAAAGTTGCAGCTCACTGTGTTGCTTCACCCCCATAAGATGAGCTGTTCAGATTTTCAACAGTTGTAACACTTCAACACTTTTTTAACAGAAGTAGTCTCTGTAGGATGCTATATAGGATTGATATGTAGCGTACAGTCTGAGTAACACTCCTACACATAAGCAGGTCACCCTCTTCAACTGCAGAAGTACCTCTTTGTATCCAATGCTGTATTTGAGGCACTCATAACTGTTTGGGTTAACTTCTTCATGGGTGGACACTAGGCATATGAACAGGTAACATGTACTATGTTCTTTCCTGGAGCTAAAGTAGCTTTTGTCAACCACCTCTGATGGTTCACCTTCAGAGAATCATTACATGCTACAACAAATGTTAGTTTAGATAAGAACACAGTATTACAGAAAATGCCTACTATTCTTCAAAGTACAACTGTGTCCAGTCAGTAGTTACTAACACCTGTCACAGAGACTGATACAGGGACATTGATAGTATGACTGCTATAAGCAGAGCAGTTAACATAAAGGACTCCCTGTGTAACAGCTACTTCTAATCTGGAACGAACAGAGACAGCAAATAAACTAAAGAACTGGTATAAACAGAAAGTGTTTTATTAAAACAAACAAACAAAATCACACTTCAGCGTGTGTCCAAAGGTCTGACTAATTTAAACTACGTACCCAGTATCCATGCTTCAGAAGTCATACAGGTATGCACATGGAAGGAAGGGAAGCTGGTGCCTGCTGGCATGCTCCTCAAAACCTCCCCTGGAGTGGTCTTTAGATTATATTAAGTTTGTTAGCAGGGTACAAAGTTTGAATTCCTACAGGACACCAAGGAAGTGAAGAACAGGTGTCTCTATTTACATATATGATTTCCATAACCATCTTTTAAACAGAAATCTGTTGCCATTCTAACAGTAGTGAAAACAGTAACAAATATGGACAAAATGCAGGCAAGCACGCATACTGCGAGGGGTTTTTTTCAATTTTCTCTTCCTAAGTTTACTTATGAGCATTTAGTTTTATTTCACAAGTCTATGCAAACTACTTAGATGAAAAGTATTCAAAAGAGCCCTTTTGAATACTCACTCATCAAGAATTACATGTGAAATGTAGCTTCTGTATGTGGATTACGACTTTCCACATATGAACAATGCTGCAATCCTCCTTTATAACAGAAGGGAATGGATTATTAGAATGCTATTCCTAAAACATTCTTTATTTTACAGTAACTATTTAATTAATAAGACAGTTTTAAAATGAGCTCTTCTGAAACAAAGCTTTCGAGATCATCCAAAAGGAGCTTCTAAGCATGCTTTGCTTTCATTCCTAAAGTCATCCTCGATCAACGCTATTCAGGTCTATGGTTTAGGTATGTGCAAAGCATGATAAGGATTCTGAAGATACTTTTTTCTTTATCGAAGAAGCCGCTCAGCCTCCTTAGACTTGCTTTCTTTTGTCTTCCTCAGTAATGCCTGTTTTATGGCATTGATCTTTTCATCAAGTTCAGCCAATGAATAGTTCTGCTAAAAGAACAAAATAAAAACCACAATCATTTACATTTTGTAATTACTTGGATAAGTGGCCTAGCACTTCAAACTTGAGGTCACTGCATATTGCACTAAGTGATACAAATACATTTGCAGAATTGTCTGAATCTAGTCTATGGCTATTAAAGTTGAAAGAAAAAGACTTAGAAGAAACTGACAGTCCTAATCATGGATCAATATATCCATGCTATTTCCATTAGATGCTTATTTAACCTGTTCATGAAAAAAAACCAAATATCCTTTGATGTTGAAACACTGGACAAGACTATCCAGATCTTACAGAACCCAGCTTTATGACCGAAGGGTGTTTTTTTTCCTATTGCTCAACATCAACCTCCTCTGTGCCCACTTAACCCGATATTTTGTTTTATCTCTTCTTATACAAAGAACTGGTCATCATCCTTTTTATAAAAATATTTCACCCTATGGAGGATTTTTTCTTTCTTCATGTAAACAAGCCTAATTCCTCAAGTCTCAGATGGTCCGCATTCCATTCTAAACATTCTCCCCAGCCCATCTGCCTCCAAGTGTGATGACTAGTAGCAGTGTTCCAGCTGCAGTCTCACACCAAGAAGAAATTCTCTCTTGTGGCCTAAGGTACATGGTTAATGCACTCCTTTATGTGACGGTATTGTGAAAATGGCAAGTCTTACTGACTTAGGTTAGTATCTCCTATAACATCAGGTCTTTCTGCAACACTTTTGCTGAGTCAGACATTTCTACCTTTATTGTCTCTTCATAAACAAATATGAACAAATATAATAAATTTACTGATAAAGTAAATTAAAAAATAATTTAAAACATCAACAAAAACCACCAAGCCACAAACAAAACAAAACAAAACAAAACAAAACAAAACAAAACAAAACCAAAAGACATTACTAAGAGGCTGGTCAGAATTTGCAAGTTGTTTGTTACCCCCATATTGATTAACAACGTTACAGATTTGTTTTATTCTTTCATCCTTCTAACTGGTGAAAACACTAAATAACCTACTCCAGTATAGACTCTTAGAAGACTCATTTCACTGTGACATCCATTAACTTTCTGTCTTCTTCCTTCTCTTTCTTTGCCAACAAGCTATCCAGCACTGATACAGCTACTTCTGAGAAGTTAAGATATTTGCTTGATAGAACTTCTGATTACTTTTCACTCAGAACATCCTAAACTTAAGGTAAACAAAAGTTAACAGCACTTACATGGGGAGGCTGAATCTTTCTCCTTTTGCCAGAACAACTCTAAAGAAAAGACATAATCAAAAGAGACTTAATGTTGCACTGACAGAGGACCGCAAGTAATTCTGTAACAATGTTGACAAGAGTCTTTAAAGTGCAGAAAGAACACTGACTGCCATTCGGTGGACTAAAGAAATCTTTTTTTATAATTAAGTACTTTGGATCATAAGAAACACTACTGGAGAGCATTCAGAAGTTGTTGAAACTTCTCCACACTTGGCAGCCAACAACTATCAACTTAACTGAAGCTTCCTTCAGACAAAACCAAGATCAATACCCAGCTTTTGAAGCTGTCAATATTTTTCTCCCCAAAAATTTCCTGTATCCACACCAATATTTTTGCAAAAGTTTGGACAAAAGAATTCTAATTACTGTACAATACTAGTATTGCCACCATCACAAATTTTTCACAGATCCCCATTCTAGAGAAGATCCTAAAGCCCTTTCTGTGGAAATCTCAACTTATAAAAATGTATGTTTTAAATTCTGGTTTCCAACAACTTGAAGGAATAGCCTCACAAATAAAGGATTTTATTAGTCTCCAACATAAACAATCAACCAACCAAACAAAAAATATGGTTATATTGCCATTGATTTTTGCTGACTCTTCTTTGGCTGGTCACAAGGGAGAAGATATAAATTAAAATATTATCAATAGTAAAAACGACAGTGTTACGTGGGGAAAGAACAAGATAACAGACAAGAAATTCCTACAGGCAACCAGAGCCTGATGTAGTAACAACTAATGTTCTCTTTGTCCTAATCTCCTTTTGCGAATGACAGATAAGGTTTACTATTCAGAAAGAAACAGAACTCTGCCCGAAAACTAGCAACATAGAAACAAAAGTCATAGAATCACATTAAACACTTTGTAAAGGGTTTGCTCTCTCATTGGAAGTTACTTCGTATACCTGATCTTTAGTAATCAGATCATGTACAGAGGCCCAAAGGATTTAAGCCATTAATGATTTGTATTAAGATCAAACTTTTGTCAATTTTCTTTCATAAGAAACAGGTAAGTGTGTGGTTCTTTGCAATAAGTATTCATCTGAGCAGGTAACCTGCCTCAGCCACCGGCTTGCCAGACTGAGGGAGGTGTGGGAGGGGGGAGAAGGACGCACAGAAATCTAACATCTATAATAAATTTCTTACAAATTGTGAATCTTGGGTGGCTGCAATTTTTTCCCCTCAAATGTATACTATTTTCTTTCAAATGAGAAATTAGGTAGAAATATGAACTTACACAGATGGTCCAAGTGAAACGTAACTATTACACCAAGCCAGAGTTCTCTATCAAGAGTGCCAAGTGTGACTGCCCTCAGGTTTTGTCTGTACATCAAAGATATAAGCACAAACGTCCCGAATGCATTTAGGTATGCTAAAAGAACATGAGAGAATTTCTTACCACAGATTGAAAATATTCAGGAGACAGTCCTTCCAGCTCAAGGATTTTATCTTCAAGCTTCTTAATTCTCTGATAAATGTCTCTTGGTACAGGACCACCTAAATACACAAACAGATCAGGAAAAGTGCTTGAATAACTTTAAAAAGACTAAAGATTGCAAGTTTTACACATGAATTGATTGAGTCCAGCTATCAACCAGTAGCTGAAGCAAAATGAGTGGACAGGATAATAAAACAGAAGGGTAACTAATATGATTCAAGGTAAAACCTGATTGATAATCCAGTGCAGTCAGTGAAGGCAAGAGACAACTTTACGCAGGTGGCTGAAATACGTCTGACAAAGTCCCTGGAACAGCTAATGATCAGTCTTATAATATATTAGTCACACAAGCAGATGGGATGGCTGCCCACACATGAATTGAGCATCGATATCCAAGATTGTTCTGAAGGAAACTTATCCCCACGAAGCATCAGAAGTTAGAGGACAGGTATGAGTTGCACTTGACAAAGAACAGCATTTGCTTAGGCACAGATGGGAGAAGCAAGGGTGGGGAATATTGTGTGGAATGGAATAGCAGAGATTTAGAGAAAATAAAAAACAAACAAACAAAAACCCATGCCCGCCCCACCACCACCAGAAACCAACCAAAGAAAAAACCAACAAACCTGCAAACATCACAAAAACAACAGCAACAAAAAACCTTACCTCAACCCATTTGCTGTTTGTAGCTATACTACAGCAGGTTGGGCTTGTTTCCCCATTTAAGAACAGAACTGACCAAAAGATCAGCCTCAGAAACCATCTATGCACAGTGATACACAGTATTCTATAAACTGAAATCACTGTTTATCACAACTAACTACTGGCTATCCCAACTAAAATGACAGTCTGGTTCTGAACAGCAATGACAACCTTTAGCAAGCTTCTATTTACTCTCTTGCCACCCATTTCCATTTATTTCTAGGTCTGTTCGGTAAGATAATTCTATTGTACAAACTACTGAAATAAGCACTAACGGGTTTTTTTGCCATTCGTCTATTTCCTCACTTCAGACAGACGATTTTGCAGGTAGCTTCCCTCTTTTCAGTTTTGCTCTCTCCTCATCACTCAGCAGCTACTAATTAAATTGGCTGACCTCCCACTCTTCTTAATACTGCTGACTCTTAATGTAAAGGGAAAAGAGCAGTACTAGCACCAAGAGAAGCTGTTCTGATAAACAGCAGATGAGTTGAGAACAACTCTTTCCATCATCAGAAACCAAAATTGGTGAGCAGGCAGCTGAGGCAGGTTACCTGCTCAGGTGAATATTTTGTGCACAGCTGCTGGGGTAACTAACAAATGACCTTGAGACCTTCAGCACTGAATGCTGATTTGGACAGGAGTTGAGCTGGAATTGCACACTTTCCTCTTCCCCTATATTGTAGTTTAAAAACCTGTTCCTTCAAATAAAATTATGTCACCTATTACAGGCAGAACCAGGAAGCAAGAATCCTTCCTTAGCTATCCCCAACCATCCCTGATATGCATCAACTCCAAAGCTGCTACACATTGTAACCTTAGTGCTGGCCAGCCACTTACAAATTCTATTTCCATGCACAAAACCCACCTTATTTTTGAGATGGTTACACAGCTAAACATCAAGCTCTGCTGCCTCAACACTATATATGAGTATTCTACTTTCTGCCACAGAAGGTGTCCACGAAGCAGGATTGAGTCCTGACCTCAGCTTTTCCTGTTCAGTGGGTCATGGCAGAAGGACTCCACTAGCTATGGAGAACTCCTACCTCCAAATATTCCAGATTGGTTTAATCCCATTCTGAAGTACCTCTCTTCCATTTGCCACCACATCAAGTATACATTTACTAACTCAACTCAGCATCCTAACTTGTGCGTGAATCTGGGTTCCATTTTGGGCATAAGAACCTAAACACACGATTGCAGTACTTGGGTGACTAAACCCTTCCATGGATCTATCCATTGTTTTTACAGTCAGTTTCTAGACTTGTCCAGTTTTACTACAGTAATGATAACTAACACAAACTGACATGCCGATGTCAAAATTAAAACATGATACAAACCTGTCTGTAACCGTAAGTGTGCTTCAATGTTTTGCAATCTCTCCTCAACAGCTTGGTTTCCACAATCATGAATGGGTACATTGATTTTGTGACTGGACCCATGTGCTCCTTCAGATCTAGTCTGAGGACCATACGTATTTACTACCCTAGAAACTAGGTAAAGAGAACACAAATTTAACACACATGCACAAGAAACACAAAGTACATCTAACTAAACCAAGTATTAAAATATAAAAGCCTGTGTTAAATCAATTTCACACCAGTCTCTCACGTGAAGGGTCCCACACACATTAAGATCAAAGGTTCAAGTAAAAGTATTTTCCTATTTTTGCACAAGTAACTAAACTAAACAAAAAACCTAGGACTTTACAAATGCAAAGTAAAAGAATTACTCATACATTCATGTAGAACGGCAGTATCAAGAATTTGTCATCAGCTGCTGATAAATAGCAGAAAACCCAATATCTATGTCAGCAGTTGCACATGTGAGCTGTTGTGAATGCAAAGAAAAGGCCAGACCTAGTATTACAGGAAGCATCATAAATACATGAAGATGAGGGGAGGTAAACAACTAGAAGAACCGCTACAAATCTCGTCAAGGAAGTTCTCTTCTAATTTTTGTTATTCAGGTTAACAGCTTTAATAACTCTTCAGCTGTTTCTAGGTCTATCTTTCCCCCCCTCCTGAACCATGTCTTTATCATAACATTTAGAGCCCCCTCTCTAAATCACGGTCCTTTCTCAAGTCCCTCCTGGTAAGACTACTGGAGTGTACTGCAGGCTTAAATACTATGTTGGAGCTCCAGCACTGAAACACAGTACTTACCCAGTACTTCATGAGGTCACATTACATTTTGCTTCAGTTTATGCTGGTTTTACTTCCAATTCCTTTCTAGGTATTATTCACGTTTCAGTCATTAACTGTTCAGGTTTTACTTACTTGAAGTGTAAGCTTTTCTTTTTTTCCTGTAATATGCTACCATCTGAGTTATAAACTAGCACTCTATAAAAAATGCGACTACTGAAAGCAGTTCTTAGTGAAAGATTATAAACTCAAACTCACTTCCCCATCTCCCTCTTAACTCACCAGACCTTTTAATGCTTATACCTATCATGCTTCACACTATTATTCTGAATAATGAATTGGTTTCTAGAACCAGTATCAAGTGGATAACTGAATACTACCACTCTCAAAAACAGACGAGTTACTTTCATTCTCATTTTGGAGATTTCCTGTATTTTTTTTTAAACACAGAGTAACTTTTGTACACCTAGAGAACAGCAGATGGACAAGCAGTCTTTTATATGTAACTTCTGCTGGACAATCATTTCTGCACTATTTACTCTTTTCCAAAAGGTAGTGCAGTTCTGAGCTTGCTCCCCTGCTTGTCACTTTCCATAAACCTGTATCTCAGAACTTCCACTGTGTCCCAAAACTGTTTCTAATCCAATATGCTTACACCAACTAACAAAAAATATAAAATAATTTTATTTAATCTCAATTCCTTAACTGGACTGCTGGCATTGCCTTAGAAGAAAAGCTAAGAATTGCTCAGTTCCTCTGTCCTGCTTTATCTTCTATATCTTTCCTTTCAGACAATGAAAATAAGCTACTTTGTTTTGCTGTTTAGTGCATAACCATCGAATTAATGAAGCAGTCATGGGATTGAAAAACTTGGAGAAGTGAAGATGTAAAAGTACTCACTAGACTCAAAACTCAGTACGTGAAGTTTGCATTTTTGAGCATTCTATAAAAAGTTTTAGTCAAAAATTTATCAGTGTTGTTCTACCTGGACACATAATAAAGGGGTATTAAAGTAGTTGCTTACCCTTTATATGGCTTTTAAATCCAGGATAGGGTGTGAAAATTGCATCTGTTCTGGCACAGCTATTTTCTAAATAAACAATAATGATAGAAAAAGTGAGGTCCTAATTACGTCTTTATAATTTAAAATATTCTAACCATCATCACCTTTGAGGCTTTTAACAAATCTAATGAAAACTTTTCATATAATTAAAACATCAGAAATACTTCATTCTACAAACACTCATTATAGTTTCATACACTTGCATGGACCAACTGGCTTTAATTGGATAAATCACTTATAAATGTGTGTACACGTGTATATGAAAGTTGATTGGATCAACCCAAATTTCGTCCAATTTACATTTTATCTGGTTCTTACTGTCACTGTGTTTCTCTGTAACTTATGTCATTCTTCCTGTACAGAAGTCTTTTCCCTGCTTACCACTATTATTCTGGTTTTCTGTTCTTTTCTGAAACTCTCCTATTTTACAATGGTCTAATTTACAGCATTCTCTTATGACCTTCCTGTATTTATTCTGATGCCTGTGACTTCTTTAATTTGTTTAACCATAAAGACCTACAGTACAGACCATCTTAGTTTATTCTAATGTTTATATTTTAATCTCTATTCATATACAACAAAGCTTTACACATCTTTTATTATGCCTCAACATACAAAGGAGGGTATTTTCATAATTTCTTCTGTACATAATTACATTTAGGAATCAGTCTTTTACTATCTAGCATATTCTACTAACTTCAGCTGTCATTTTCATTCCAACAAATATTCAAGCAGTTAAACTATCTTCCTGTAAAGCTTAAGGAACAATAAGCTTTGATCTCTAAAAGCATATCACAGAGACAATGCACATCTGGGTTCACAGGTACTTAGAAAACGTCTCCATATACTTATGTATATAAGATTGTCTTCACTTTTAAGATGCATTTGGTTACACAATCACTGATCGTGCTAATGGGATCCAGCCTGCCAGACGGATTTAAGATTGCTTGGTTATAGATACAGCCAATTGTGCCAGTTAGTGCATTAAAACCACCAACAGTGTGAGTAATGTTCAAAAGAAAAAGTTATTCCAAGTATTCTAAGTTATTCTAAGCTAGTAATTCAAATTGATTGCAAAAAATACTTCTTTGTAATGTAATTAGCATTAGGTAATAGTTAATTTAAAACTTTGAATACTTAATTCACATGATATTTCTGAATTGCGATGCTGTTGACTTTGAAAGGAACATCTACCTAAACCACTGAGAACAACAGTTACAAAATCATCTGATTTAAGACTACAGTTCTTAAAATGAACACAGTAATAGCTATAATCTTTCTATATGGGATGCATTAAAAGGACTACTTCCCTTTTTTGTCTATCTGACATGCAGTGCACATGCAAATTCTTAACTTTAAAACAAAGTTACTCTTAAAATGAAGTTCTGTTTTAAATATAGAATAATGTTTTTGAAAAAAAGAAAAAAAAAACCAAACAAACCCAAACCAAAAATCAAAACCAACCAACTTAAATTGCTATGAAGATTAAAGTCTGGGTATCCATTTACCTTGATTACAATCAATAACATTGCAAAATTCCCTGACATTATTTTCATTGATCTCAGCTTGTTTCCTCTCGATGAAGGCTGATATCCGCCTGTCAATCTGCAGGTAATAAACATGATGGCATATATCTATTTAATTCTTTAAATTTAAAATTCAGAAAGATCTTTTACTTTTTCTTTTTTTCTTCTTTTTTTTTTTTTAAGTTAGGTAAATCACTTACTTCTGCTTTTCCAGCTTTTATTTGGACCACCTCTGGATCAAAATTAATATGAGCTTCCTTCAGATCTCCCAAATCATAACTTGCATACTCTTCTTCAGTCTGACAGTTACCATCATAAACACTTAAATTTGTTTCACAAGTTTGGCTGCCTGTTTTACCTGCAGGTGCAACATAGCCTATATTTTCCTCTTTAATCAATGACTGGAGTTTTTCTAGAAGAGGCTGAACAAAGAAAACAGTATGACAGGGTTATTAAAAAAAATGCGAACAAAAAACAAAACAACCCACAAAAATCCACAAAACAAAAAGCCGAAAGCCAAATACTACTACAATTTCTAAACCAGACCAATTGAAATAATTATTTTAGGAATTACAACATCCGCCTCTGATAGAACAGAGTAATAAAATTTAAAAACAGGAAAAAAAGGCTATAGTTCCAAATACTGTGTACACCATGACTCTGGCTTTTTTGACCTGTGCCTTTTAGATGTTTATATACGAAAACTCCCAAATTTCTGCAAAAATTTGCCTGCTGCTCATCTGTTAGTAGGTAAATCAAAGCTTCAATCATTGGCACTAATGCCACTTAATTAACATTTAATTCAAATGCTTACTCAGAACAGTAAGTCTTAGTATTTTTCCTCCTTAACATGAAAGCCAGTGCTTTCACACTGTAAAGCCTTTACTTTATCACCACAGCACTACATTCTCCACTTGAACCTGCAGTTGCCCAAGCGAATGAGACAATACAGACATGAAATATATAGGCGTTATCCTGAAGACATGCTTTTCTTGACACGGTTGATTATCTACTTAGGTCATGAAATTAAATGAAAGAATGCACTGACATTTATAGCAGCAAAAAGAAATGCTTATTCTACTGCAATATCTCTTACACAGATGTAATAATAAAACCTCAGTACATATGTATGCGTCACCCTTTTCTAAAATTTTTACCAGTTTCACCTAGTCTGAATTTCACTGCTTATTTTCCCTCTAGAAATTATTTGTTTTTAAAGACAACATGATTTTTACCAGTCACATTTCCTGAAATGAATCAAATTCCTACTTGCAGTGTTCTTACAGTTAGATGTGATTTTTACTCGCTTTTATCTTGCATATTTACTCTTTTTGTTCATCACACCAAAGATTTGGTGGATGTCTGGAAAACATAAAGGGTCTTTCTTTTACCCACAGACAAGCAAATACAGGAACTTCCTTTTTAACCCTCTCAGTACTACACACTTGAAATAATTCATTGACTAGCTGAAGCAAAAAACTAGTATTAAAATCCCCACCTTCTACAGATGAACTATCAAGGTCAAAACACTGTTCTATTACCAGCTGACAAACTGCTCACCCTCCCTGCCATGCAACTAAATTACACATACTTTTGGCAGGGTTGGAAAGTTTCAATAGTTAAAAGAAATGACAGTAATGGTGACTGGCTACTTGGCAAGATGAGACATTAATGTCAAAAAAATTACTCTTTAAAAAAAAAAAAAAAGAAAAAAAAGCTGAAAATATATTTAATTGCAGTAAGACACTCCAGGATGTGTCATGCTGGGATAATGCCACTTCTTGAACCACTGAAAGCACTCCATGAGCCTCAAAACTCACCCAACGCATGGAATCATTATCATAGCATGATACACACCTGCCGTGTCTTATTGCTTAATTATAACCCACCATAGATGGAAATGTATCACATTTACAATGCAAGTCTAGAAATCAATGAGGCTGCACTTATTCAGCCTGCTCACCTACAGTGGCTATTCCCACCACTAATCGGAAAAATCCATAAGCTTGAGTACCGATGAAGCACAGTGGAATCCCAAGCATATAACACTTTTGCATTATCTTTTGTTAGACGTAGCAATGTAAGAACAAAAACAACTTAAATTTTACAGTTTAGATAATATAACTACATTCAGTTGTTGATCACTTTTGTCGAGTAAAATGTGTCCAATGAAATACTTACCTGCAAACATAAAATATGCTGCTGAAGTGCACTGAAGAGCAACGTTGGCTGAAGTGCTGATGTGCTTTGAAGCTTGCTCCAATCGATTACAACTTTCACGATATCATCTCCAAGGTTAAGCTTCAAAAGGGCAAAACAAACACAACAAAAAATTATGTTGTTATGTTGTATTAATGTCACAAAAGTATACAAGACTCCTACAGGACAACAATTATGCTCAATCTCATACAGATCCCATTTTTATATGAGGACACTGGAGAAGTTTGACATTAAGTATAATTCAAGCAGCTGTCATTTTCAAAGAAAGCTAGTATTTGTAGAGTATATTCAGAAATTAAAAATTCCTTACTACTTCATCACACTTTCGTTGTACAAATTTGATTTTTAACTTCAGTCGATTCTCAATTAAATTAACTATCATACAAAAACATACTGTTCAGGTTAATCGCTCAATTATTTTAACAGATGACAGAACCACCAGTAAGAAGAAACATGCACCCAGGATGGCAGTCTCCTATAAATTCATGTATTTTATTTTGAGATCTGCAGAGCTATCTATGCCTGCATGACTGAGGTGTTGATACTGCACCATGCCACATTCTTGAAATTTTTACTTGATGCTAATCCACAGGACGCTTTATCTTAAAAATAAGCACTAAAAAAACCCCACTCAAGGTTAAACAAACTCTAGACTACACAGTACCACTACCAAACCCATTTCCAAATCACACTATTTCCTTTTATATGCATTCAGATCAAAATAACAATTGCCATAGTCTATTCTCTTTTCCAAGGAGTTGCAATATTTAACTCCCAAAGCAATAGAGACACATATAGTGAATCTGAAGGTTTATTTAAAGCAATCATGTATCTTCTGAAAGTTAAAAATAAACTTTCACTTTCTAATACAAAGCAGACTGTAAATAATCGTTAATGGACTACATGCTTTCACACCCACTTTTGCCATTTTCATTGCACTAAAGCTCTTCTCAAGATCTTGAAGTAACAAGCACTTTCATTTCCCAAGGCCAATTAAGTTGTTCTCCAACCAAGCAATCTGTAAGTGATCCCCCAAATTCTAAATACAGATAAAACTCTTGTTAAAAATCAAGACAATCTACAGGTACTCTATTTGAGACACAGAATTCCCGAGTCAAATAAATATTTTTATGCCTACATCTCAGTCCTTCCATGTTCTTAAAAAAAATCCAAAACAACAAACAAAACAAACAAACAAACAAACTCAGAAATAAACAAAAACCCTAGAGACACCTCAGGCAGATGACAAAAGTTACCTTTAACATATGGTCTAAAGATATTTAACTTCTAACAGCACCAAATATTATGGACAAGAACACACAATGCAAATGTACTTGTTTCCTAAACCCATCACACAGTGTATGAGGAAACAATGAGGACTAAATACAAGAATGCCTCCATCACTCGGACAGCAAAGCAGCGGATAGTGAGTTGTTCTGGGTTAGCTTTAAATCACAGCATTATCATATTTTTGTATGTAAAGAACTATAAGCCTGAGCCTTCCTTCTTTAGTCAAAGAACAACCTTGTTAAACCCAGTATTAGATTCCAAGTTACATAGCAAAGGCCTTGGTCTGACTAGATATATAATGTATTTTAGATAATTTTCCCACAAATGGTTGTTCCTTTTTAGTACTTAAACTACACATGATATAGAAAAAGGTAAGGAAATACTAGTTCTGAACACCTTACAAAATCAAGAATTTTAGAATTTAGTAAGAAGAAAACTTTAGGAATTCAGCCACTGTGCATGGGATCATCTGAAGCACGCCTTTCTTCCCAAAGAGAAGAGTAACATCTGCTATACACTACATTACAGTGCACCAACAGTAGAAAAAAGGCATAAATGTAAGTCATCGTAACAAAACAAAACAGGAGTCCTACTGCAATTTCCTAATAAGCCTGCTTTTTCACAAAGAATCAGCTGATGTGTGCCTTCATATCACAGCATGCGACTCCTGTGCATGGGGTTCAATGTACAAAACCGATAGAACTTCTGACTTGGAATAATTTAGATTGCTGATATTTAGATCAGTGATATTTTAAACTCATAGACATTGTTTTCAAATATAAGAATAAGATTCTACTGCATCCCAACATGTTTCTAGTACAATATAATTAGTTTTCTCATCCTTATACCTCTAAGAACTGTGACAGGTTTATAAATTCTGTGATTTGCTAACATCAAAGACTGTGTATTTACAAGTCCATAGCCTATTCTGTAGCAATTTACAGGATCATAAGTCATTTCAGCCCTTTGAAATTGTTTTATGAAAGACACTGACTGTCACTTGGGGTTTAAAAGAACTTTTCATGATCAGTCATATTGGTTTTAAGAGTTGTTATCCCCAGATGTCTTCCTAGACACTGTGCTTCAAGTGACTGCTCTAGTAAAAAAATTCCTGTGCCAGAAATATTCCTGTTTACAGTCCAACCTGCCAGCATAAATCCAACTTAAACTACTACAATGGATCATAAACTGCGACAGCTAATGATCTGGCACATGTTCACTCATCTCTATAAAATGGAAATGAGGAATCAGTGGTTTCAGTCAAAACCACAAGATGGATTGTTGGAGTCAGTAAGCTGGTAGAACACCAATTAAACCTACCAGAACTCAACTGCTGGCACACAAGAGTTTAACTCAACAACTGGAAACAATCACGACTGAGCAATTAAATGGGCCTCAGCTAAGATGGAGCAACCAGACTCCTACTCATAGTTCAGTGCAGTGCACGCTAAAATTGGTTTGTTGTCACAGAAAGAATACACTCCAACTGCCAATGAAGACAATTTTACTCTTCATTATAACTAATGTAAGTCTACTGAGGTGGATGTAGCAACTCTAAACTGAGGTATTGCAATTGGCTGTGCACACCGAAACAACGTTAAAAATCACTAAGCTCCCTTGTGTGACCTGCCGGACAAAGAGCAAACACTGGCAAACAAGAGAGAAACTAATTAATGATTAATGTAGGTTTGAAAACAATTAATCAAACTTGTGATAAGTATCCTAGTTAGAGCTCAGGAAACTTTTCCTTTATTATGCTTTGTGTTTTTCATAAATACAAGAGTTCAACTTTTCACTCATGTTAACATTGTAAGACCAGTAGTATGAATGACAGTATCTGCCATCTAGATAAACTGACAAGTCACTAGTTCTTTATTGATTGCATTTAGAATTTTCACAAGAAAGAATTATGAGATATTTTGTCTTCCATACAAAGATAGTTTTCATGTCTCAGTAATCCTATGAATCAACGGTGTATGATCATCAAGTTGTTTAGCACTGCACTCCTGTTCAAAGGCTTGGGTAGTTTTTATTCACTTCAGTGACAGGAAAACTGAGACTCTTACTAGTCAGCGCCTGACTTTTCAGGCCCTTAATTTTGGATTACTTTTGTTTGAAAATGGAGAAAATTACTAGCAGACATTGAGGCGAGAAGCTAATATAATGCAAAATTCTATTCATATCCGAGTGAAATGTTTTAAAAAGTAACTTCAGATCGGTCAGCAGCTACTACTAAACTGCCTCTGTATCTAACAGAGTACATTTCAGAGTATTTTTGTAACACAAGCATATATTAAATTATACTATCTCCTGCAAATATCACTCATCATCTGTTCCCAAACCTTCAAACTGCTAATTTTGGAAGCAAGATTGTGCTTCTACCACCTTCACAGAACTACATATATGCTTCCACAGTGGAAAAGGAATTAATCTGTAAATTATTTATGGTAATAATTAAGTTGTTAGTAAAACCATCTCCTGATAAGGGCCTCCCACCACTACCATAACATCTGTTAAATAATTCATAGCCATTACTAAATCTAAAGTAGGTGTTTCAACTTAAGTACCACTGCAAAGCTGCTTTAAAAATTCTGACCCACTGCGACGCACTGCGTGTTTTATAGCATGCTATTACAAAGCAAGGCTAACTTCAAGCTCCTGATCATTTATTTTGATTCAATGCACAGCCAGCTTTTAGTAGCTTTTCAATTCGGAATCATTAATTGTTAAGATACAGCAATTAGGCAGACTGCAGTTTGTCATGGCAGAGATCATCCATCAAACTGCAAAGTGACATGAGGCGTCCCGTTACTCGAAGGCAGAGGCACGGTGAGTGCACGCAGCAGCAGCCCGACGCTGCCCGCGCAAGAAGGGATGAAGCCAGCCCCCCCATCCTAGCCCTGGCAGGGGCTGCACAGCTCCCGCGGCCAGGCGCTAACAGCCTCCAGAAGCGATGACGCTCCTTGCTTGTGCCAGGCTTCTTTTCTCCCCGGCGCCGCACTCTACCCCTGGAGCCCAGAAGGGACAGGCAGGACGGGGACAAACAGAAGCACGCCCTGCTCGGGCCCCCGAGGCGGGGCGAGGCGGAGCGAGGCGGGCGCGGTGCGGGG